TGCCGAGATCGTGATTCAGGGTGTCCTTGTTCTGACAAGATCGTCCCAGTAGGGGAGGTGGTGCTATCCCATACCATGGTATAGACTTATGATACGAACCACTGGATGATCCGGAGAGGCGAGTCACCGATTCACTATGGTGCCGTTTGCGTCTCAGACACGACGACAACTGCTTCGTGGCAGTCGTATATCGCTCCCCATCGTCCACTTCAGAGATGGATTCCCACCTAATTTCATCACTGACGAAATGCTTACTCCCAACTTACAGCAACCTTCTTCTTTCCGGCGATTTCTACGTGCATGACTTGGAAAGCTCGGCTTCTTCCAACGTAACATACAAGGCCGAACTGCAAGAAGTTATCATAAGTATCCCGTTTCACAATCACATCAGCGTACCTGCCAGGTACAGAACTGATAACAAACCATCGGTACTTGACGTCCTCCTTGCGAATGAGGAACTCATGATTGACGGGCCATTTATAGACATCCCACTGCGGCTAAGCGATCATGTCACCATGTTTTATAACTATTTGTGTTATGCTGAATATCTTGAGGAACACACAGAACTAACACGTGCTATCACACGTTACATCTTGAACAACCTAATTGAGACGACCAATTGAGAGTTCTTGTATGGCGGATCACCTGATAGCGCCTGGATTCAGTTTATTGGTTGCTTCAGCAATTTACTCGCAACTGCTTCGGAAACAAAGTTCGCTCCATCAATCCCTCGTATTTCGACAGAAGTAGAACTCGCAAGCGCGTCGGTAATCAATGCAGCTTGGCACGCTTACAGAGCTCGTCCTTGTCCCGAAACCTGGAGGGATTACGTGACCCAGCGCAACCACTGTAACATGCTTGTCCATGAGGACCAATTGACTCACCAACAGCATTTGGCCTTCAAATTTGCCAACAACAAAAGGCTCCTTATACAAGCATGTTAACATCATCCGGAAAGTGAAGCTCGGTATCACCCCACTTAACACACCAGTCGGAGCGGCACAGACTGCCGAAGAGGCAGCCAACGCTTTACGAATGCAGTAGGGCCCAACCTTCCAAAGAGAGATCCACCAGTGTTACATACCCACATCCCTATCCCCAACTTCAACACTCACTAACATCGGTTTTACTGCCACAGCTGTTTTGAAAACTGCTCTCACTACGCACCTATACTTCTCCCGGAGTCGACTATATTCACCCAATGGCGCTGAACGTAGCAGCAACAACGCTGGTCGAGCCATTATCGCATTTTTTTTAAACGTGCTTGGATAAACAAATTGGGCCTACCATATGGAAACATTGCGTAATCGCTCTAATTTTCAAAAGCTGTAATCGCTCGAAACCCGCCAAATGTCGCCCAGTAGTCCTACTCCCTGTGCACTCATAGGTGATGAAGGCAATCATCGCCGAGGCTTTAGTAGACCATCTAGAACGCCACAACATTATAGCACCCAAAAAACCGTTTCCGCCAGCACCGCTCATGTACTACCAACCTACTGATTGCACGCAGTAGTTGGACGGAAGCGGCCGATACAGGTAGAGGGACAGACGTCATTTACTCCGACTTCTCCAAAGCATTCGACCGACTGGACCACCACATTCTGCTTAACAGGCTCGAAAGCTATGGAGCTGGTGATCCAGTCTTTGGGTGGATCAGCGATTCCCTGCAGAATCGGCAACTGCAAGTCAGAGTTCGAAGTGCGCTGTCCAATCCGATTTATGTCGAATGTGGAGTTCCACAAGGATCAATTCTGGGGCCGCGTCTGTTACTCGTGTTCATTAACGGACTTGCGTATTTGATTACTTCAGATTTCTCGCTGTTAGCTGACGAGGTTAAAAGGTAGCGGACGATCGCAGACCCAGGAGATCACCACGCACTTCAGCCAGACCTGGACAGAGCCTTTGGATGGTCACTCCACAATCTGATCCAGTTCAAGTCGGGGAAATGTAAGGTGGCTCATATTCGCCAACAGCCGAACATCACATACAAACTTAAATAAATGGTATATTCCTCGGTGATTTGAGGTGTGTACAACAGGATAGCAAAAAGTAATCAATTTGCGCACACTTTTTACAATGGATCCAAAACAGGAAAGTAATTGGCAGGATTAAGGCATTCAAGAGACTAAAAGAACAGGAACAACAACATATGCAGATTTAAACAGATGTCCAATTAAAGTAATACAGCCACTCGTGGAACCATCCCCAAGGGACCTGCTTCCATGCAAGGTATTCCCTCGAAAGGTTTCGATCGCACTTCCATGCAATACCTGGCCGCGTGCCGGTGTGGCATAGTAGCATATGAGCCATCACTTGTTTATAATATGTTCATATGATCATATTTTCATATGATCATGTTCTGTAAGCAGCCATCCAAGTGCGCGACCTTGCGGTAACACTTCAGGCTGATCTGGGCTGCTCAGAACAGTCTGAGAAGGCGTCAAAGACCCTGAACCAACACGTTGGCATGCTGCGAAGGGTATTTGAGCGGTTTGATTCCTCTGTCTGTTGGCAGTTGCTTAACACAAGTGCGGCTTCATGTGGAGTACGCGATCCAAGTGTGGCAGCCCTGGCACAAACAAGACCTTGCAGCGCTGGAGACTCCACAGCGACGAACCAAGAAGCAGGTCAAAGGGTTGTTCAATCTTCCTTATCAACTTAGACTGAGGACCCTAAAATTATATAGTGGTCAGTACCGGTGCCTATGTGGTGAGCATATTATGGCCTATCAGATTCTAAGGAACCCCAACCACGTCTGCTGTCACCTACTATAACTGAGCCATAACACGAATTTTGGGGGCCACCAGTTCAACTTAGCCACGTAAGAAAGTCGGCTGGAATATTGACGGAACGTTTACTCACTTTGTGTGTATCGGCTTTGGAACGGCCTCCCAAACTACGTTGTTTCCGCCTCTACCTTACCTGTGTTTAAAATACCATTTGATGTTGCCTTAACCCACCTACACTACGAGATATGGGCTGTGTGTCTCGACAGACGACATAATGCGACGAACGTTGCAGAGCCAGAAGTAACCTAAACAACTGTGGTTGGCTGTTTCTACGTGCCTCTGTGTTAACACTGTGGTGAATCAACCAAAACGATTTTTATTGTATCCCTTTGTTTTTCTATTCACCAAGTTGTGGCTCGCTTTTTGGCCTTCCTGCTGGAATTGTTAATCATCCGCTTTTTTGCAAGTAATATACTATGGTTCCATTGTTCCAATAAACAACACTAATCACCCCTGCCATTATCTACTGTAGCTGAATCACAACCAACTGAGAGATCATCATCTCAAATTGGCAGAACAATACAGTCGGTTGGGGTGTCGAAGAAGCTTCTTCTCGCTACATGTTTGCCTCACTTACAATACACCCGCAGAAGCCGTTACTTCAGCTCCCACGTTAGCCGTGTTCAAGGCACGTGTCGATAGCGTATTGGCCATACTACACAATATCAAGTAATCCAAACGACCCATACAAACAGCAGAAAAACAAACCAACCCACCTCCATTTTTTCCGGAAACCATAGACAAACATCTTGGATAGTACATAAAGCGGACGGAACGCTGTGATCGTCAAATACGCAATTTGCAGTTGTTCACTATTTCCTATTGCCATTTGTGCACTTATTTTATTCACCTATAACCCATCAACCGGCTGGACATGCCAAGCTTCGTCTTCTTTTATCCGCAATATGCCATTGACCATTTACCGTGTGATCTAAAAGGGCTAAGAAGTGCCCACTTTAGCGGCATCTGTCCTGTCACTGGTTTTTGCGTCACAAATATCACTTGAAACGATTTTGGCGAAGTTTCCTGCGAATAAACTTGTTCTTTGCCCCTTAGTTGTCACCGAGACCTTAGGTCATTACCTGTCTTTTGACCACTGGACGCTATCTAGCTACCCCTCGCCTCTTGTGCGCTGTTTTCCATTCGTCAAAGGCGGGTTTAATTGAGTCGGTTATTGGGATCCGCTCAGAGTGGTTGAACTGATCAGTGGATCTGCAGTTTCCCTTGTACCGGTGTCTGGTTTCTCACAAGGATCCTTTTGTTATATTCTTGGAGTCCAGTGTTACTTTGTAACGTTGTGAGTCCAATTCAATACACTCGTGTCACACTTGGTCTTGCCGACTGGTGCTCTCGTCGATTGCATAGCTTGTCATTGTCAACTGGTTCACATCTTTCCTGCTTATCTATTGTAAACTCCAGACAGTGCCATCGCAAAAAACTGTCCTCCTGCGTTATTCGCCGTCAAATCTTTGGATTTATTCTCACAGAGACCTACGTGCCATCATTCGATTTGGTCCCGCGAGCTCCTCCTACCACTGTTCATTTAATGGATCTATCATTCACGGATCACCAACAAACTGTGCTCTTGGAACTTCGAAGTCAACCGTATTTGAAGCTTATCGGATGTTTTATTTTTCCTCTCGTCGCATAAGAACGCTTGTGGTCTTATTTTAAACATCTTTTTGAGAGTCACCCGATCAGCTTACTACCATTCCTTCAAGTCATTCTACAAAGCCATAGTCGTCAATTTGCTCTGCAGTTGGAACTGCCACTGTCGTCACTAGACAGCATTTTCCAAGTCACCTTGTTTGCCTCAGTCGCTTTGTCTCGCATCGCTGTCTACCCGTCTGGATCGATAGCACGCACATCGCCTGGACCTGCTGACCTCAAACCAGCGCCGATCGCCACGCAGCGGTGCGTCAGTATCTCCATCCACTTCCTACCCCTACTGAGAACATGTCTCATGTGAAAAGCAAATGCGAATCATGTGCTGAAGTGGTGAAAAATGGTCTGGTATGTACCATGTGCTTGAAACCCTATCACACTACCTGCCTTGGGAAGAAGTCGACAGAAGCACACACCGCAGAGTCGCCTTGGTTCTGCCAAGCATGCAAGTCTATTCCATTTGTTAGCTGTCTATCTGTGCTACTGAAGAGGTGTGAAAGACTAACCGAAGCGGTCGAGCAACTGCTGAGCGCCAGAGTTACACCCATGGGAGGAAACAGACCTGCACTTGTGAGTGAAAATAACACCCCGAACTCCCTAGTCAGGCCGAAGAAGCGAGCCAGGCGTCCCAACCGAACCCCAACGACCCAGCCTCCAGCAGTATCAACTCCATGCTCTCTCCCTCCTATAAGTAAAAACAGTGCCTGCAGCGCGCCTGCCTCGACTTCTGTACTGTGTGCTGCACCTAGTAGTCCGTTCACTACACTCGAGATTGTAAGCTACAGTCAACCAGCAATATTGAACAACCCGGCAACGTACGCATCGGTTGCTGCCAAGCAAACACCGGAAAGATCACCGGTAACCTTTGTGCCCGGACTAGAGAAAACAAAACTGCCGCAGCACGGATGGCACACACCAATGCCGTTCACAAATTCAACAAAAACACCGGATACTGAGCCTCTAAATCCGAAACCAGTAGCCACCAGGCGCAACCATGGTGTCCTAAGCATTGTATGCACTAATGTCCCCAAATCCAAATCCAATACAATTAAGGGTAAGTTGACGGACGATCGAAATCAGTGGGGTTCCATCTGTACGTCGATCGGAGTCCATGCTAATCCCACGAAAGTAAGAAGAATCTCGCGCCACCAAAACGCGTTGCACTACGGCGAACCCCGGTTACTTCGGGTAACACTAAACTCGGCGGATGAGACTGAGGCCGTTCTGCTGTCCGCGAATAGTCTCCGCAACGACTCAAGTGGAGTGCGCATACTACCAGAAATCCCGTGGAAAGAACGTGCCGGGGATCGCGCTAACAAAGATAGTTACAGAATAAGTCAAGATAAGAAAACAGTGATTGCTCACTGTGTTCCTGAGCTTACTGACTCCTCTTCCGACGATGCCCAGATGCATGACCGCGAGGAATGGCACTACATCCGGGAGGTACTTTCCCTCGTAAATGTGGTGGTCACCTCGTTGACAAGGATCTCCATATCACCAAACTATAAAGGATGCGGTCCCAGGCTCTAAAAACTTGTGTTACAGTCAGATCTAATGGCACAAACCCTGCTAGCGAACTGGATTAAATCCAGTTGCAGATTGCCAACGGAAATTCGTCTGAAAGCAGCAAGAACACCAACACCTTTTGATGGCAATTCAGTAGAGGCACAACTCTTAGTGAAAACACCAGCTGCAGGACCCGACTAGGGGACGGTTTCAAGAGTAGCCGTACTATCCGGAGGGGCAGAGCAGAGCACAAGCAAACACCGGGATTCGGGGCATCTGATACCTGCTTATATATCAAATACTTCTCGAGAGTATGCAACCCATCCAAAAAACGATTAGTCGCCGACCCTTTAATGGTCGGCGTAAACTCATTTGCTTCATCCACCCATCCAGTCGCCGGCCACTCACTGATCGGCGAAACTTCACGTATGAGTTGTACAACTTCTGAAACATTGATTAAATCTGAGAAACTTTCATGTATGTACACTAACGCCCAAGGGCTCCGCAGTAAAATTAACGTACTTCGACTACGTCAGGTTGCGAGTGCGTGGGACCTAATTTCTATTACCGAAACTTGCTTACATCAAGAGGTGACTGATGCTGAGGTTGAGATAGCCGGAATGTCACTCATCCGGAACGACCGCCCCAACAGAGAAGGTGGGGTCCTACTCTACTACCGCAGCAATCTACAATGTACAATAGTTGAGGACCTGGAAACACACGTTACCGATTCACTCTGGTGCCGTCTCCGACTGAGACACAACGATACATATCTCATAGCTATCGTTTACCGCCCCCCAACGTCCACTCTGGAAATGGATTCCTGCTTGATCCGTGGCCTAAACAGAGTAACACGCACTAGGTACAGCCACATTCTCATCTCCGGGGACTTCAATCTACACAATCTGGAGGTTTCGGTATCGCCCAGTGAGCAGTTCAAAGCAGACTTGCAGGAACTGATCGCTAATATTCCTTTGTACAATCATGTCACCACGCCCACTAGATTCAGGGCAGCAAACAAACCGTCCATACTGGACCTTGTGCTCACAAATGAAGAGCTCATGATTGACAAGTTATTGATGGATAGTCCATTAGGTCTCAGTGACCACGTAGTAATAACTTTTGACTATGTGTGTTATGCAGAATATCCATCTGAACAATCAGAACTAACTCATACAATCACACGCTACCACGTATTGAAAGAACTCGCCGACGCAGCTGCTTGGGAATTCTCAAACAAAAGTCCCCTTGACAACGTTTGGGCAGAGTTCGTTAATAGACTCAGCGACATCGTCAACAGAGCATCAGAGACCAAGCCCCTTCGTCCTGCAAAAATGCCTTCAATTCTAAGGAGTAGAACTCGAAAATGCCTGTCGATAAGAGATGCAGCATGGCGTGCCTACAAGAGTAACCCCGACTCAGAGACTTGGGGAAATTTCCTGGCTCATCGCAACCATTGCACCGCACTTGTCCGTGAGGACAAAATAACTTATCAACAGTGCCTAGCCAAAAAGTTCATGGCAAACAACAAACTGCTGTATAATCATGTCAATAAGCTTCGTAAATTGAAGCATGGAATACCCCCACTATTCACGACAGGCGGTAGAGTACAAAGCGCCGAAGAAGTAGCTAATGCCCTACGGCTACAATTTTCGAACTCGCAGCCTCGATCTGTCCCATAATGTCATGCACATTACCGACTCCACTGTCCACACATGTAATTTTTCACCCGTCAATTATGCTAAGGAAGTTACTCTCCCTGCATGAACATGGTTCTCTGGGAGCAGACAATATCCACCTGAAGGCTATGGCCAACAAGCTAGCTGAACGACTGTCACAGTTCTTCCAAAGGTGCTCTGATGAACAATACTTCCCCACTATGTGGAAGCGTAACATTATCACTCCAATGTTTAAAGGCGGTAGCCGTTCCGATCCTGCAAACTATCGTCCAGTGACTCTCCTCCCTGTGCTCACGAAGGTGATGGAAGCAGTCGTCGCTGAGGTTTTAATGGGCTATCTGGAAAAATGCAACATCCTAGTACCGGGGCAGCATGGTTTCCGTCAACACCGTTCATGCACCACCAACCTACTGATTGCACGAGGTAGTTGGACGGAAGTGGCTGATGATGGGGTCAGAGTTGACATCATCTAGCTGGACTTCTCCAAAACTTTCGACCGCCTTGATCACCGCATCCTACTTTAACGGCTACAGAGCTACGGAATCGAAGATCTTTTACTTGGTTGGATTGACAGCTTCCTTCACCAACGGAAGCTTCAAGTACGTGTTAGGGGATCACTCTCTAACCCAACTGAGGTGGAATGTGGTGTTCCACAAGGCTCAGTGCTGGGACCGCGCTTATTCCTGGTGTTTATCAACGACCTGGCAAGAGATATCTCTGCAAATTTCCTGCTTTTCGTAGAAAGTAGAAGCCACGATTAAACTTCGCACAATAATCTGCCTCGACGGGGAATCGAGCCCCGGGCCCACGGGGCAGATTATTGTTCGTGGTTTAATCGTGGCTTCTACTTTCTACGAAAATTACACTACTCACAAAATCCACAAGCAATTCCTGCTTTTCGCCGATGACGTCAAGATATGGCGGACGATTAATAACAACATAGATCACGATCTGCTCCAACATGACTTAGATCGCATTTACGAATGGTCAAAGAGGAACATGCTTCAATTGAACATAGCTAAGTGCAAGGTGATACATCTGCGTCACCAGCCGGGGGGCGCTTATAAGCTTGGAGACCACACCTTGGAGAAGGTCTCTCAGGTGCGTGACCTGAGTGTATTGGTACAGGAAGATCTCGAGTGTACAAAACAGGCAGAGAAGGCGACGAGAACCGGCAACCAGCAATTCGGCCTTCTTCGCAGAGCCCTCGGTCGGTTTGAACCATCAATATTTCCCCAAATGCTTAACGCCTATGTGCGATCTCACGTGGAACTTGCTATTCAGGCGTGGCAGCCGTGGCAGAAACATGATCTTGTTGCTCTCGAGACTCCTCAACGAAGGGCAACCAAGAACATCAGGGGCCTCTTTCATCTGCCCTATCAGCTTAGACCGAAATCTCTAAGAATGTACAGCAGTCGATATCGGCTTTTGCGGGGATCTCATAATGGCTTACCAAATTCTGAAGAACCCAAACCACATTTGTCGTCCGCTGCTGGAATTGAACCACAACACTAACCTAAGAGGTCACCCTCTGAAACTGACAATTAAGCATAGCCGGCTTGAATGCCGTAGAAATTTCTTTTCCCTCCTCTTGTGCCAGCCTTGGAACGCCCTCACTAATTATGTCGTCTCTGCTCCCAATCTGGCGATATTTAAAAACTAGTTGATTATGCAGTGTCTCCTTTTCATTTCAATTTATGAATTATTAGCCAGGGGCTACAAAACGCAATCAAACGGTGTCTTACCAAACACCTAATCAGTGGATTTATTGGTTTATACGTTTAATACGCGAATATCTCCGCTATTCTACCTAAATCAGTGGTGAGTCCACCAAAACGTATTTCACTTTGTCATGCAAGTTCATTTTCGCAATAATTTCCATCCCACGGGACATGTTAAGCAATGTTTTTACCCGTGATGAACCATTGTTCCATTGTTCCTTCATCTTGTACCTTCAAGCGCTACCGAGAGGCTCGAAATGCCCACATGCAGCATCTACGGGGTGCTCGACTACAGCAAGAAGTAGAGCTTGTTCGTATAGCTTCATCGATCCTGAAACGCTTCTTCGCGTATGTCAACAGGCAAAGCAACATGAACTCGTGCATCCCAGTGTTGTTTGGCCCTGATGTTTCTCCTGCTGTCACAGATCACGAAAAAGCCTCTTCGCTCGACGAACAGTATGCTGGGGGTTTATGTTCGAGAGTCGCAGCTGCCGCATATCAGCCTGCAGGCAAACGTTCCTGCGGGCTCCTTCTTGGAGGAGGTTTCCATAACGGAGACTCAAGTGCTCCATCTTCTGAGGGAATTAAATCCCAATAAAGTTGCCGGTGGGATGCTATTCATCCCAAACTGTTGTACGAGTTGGCTGATGAACTTTGCCTTCCGATTACACAACTTTTTCTGAAGTCTCTACGCAGCTGCTCTCTATCCACTGACTGGAAGGAGGCTATTGTTTGTCCCATTTTTAAGAAAGGTGACAAGCACCTCCCTGATAACTATAGACCGGTCAGTTTGATAAACGTTCTGGTCAAGTTGGAAAAACTCATGAGGGACGCTCTCGAAGGATACTTGACAGCATTTGAGTTGCTTACTCTCTCTCTCTCAGCACGGCTTTCGTAAGGGCTGGTCTTGCCTTACTAACTTTTTAACGCCTCGCGAAGACTGCGCCGAAGCCGTTGATTGCGGGAAGGCAGTGGACGTGTTGTTCATTGATTTTTCCATGGCTTTTGACACCATTCCACTTTCGAGCCTTTTGTACAAGCTTAAGTCCTACGGTATTTCTGGAGTAGTCTTACGATGGATTTCAGCTTCCTCAATAGGGAGGGAAATGTGTGTGCGGGTGGTGTCAAGTCGGTCCTTTCGCCAATGTGTTCTCAGTAGCTTTCTGCAAGGTTCAGTCCTAGGCCCCGCTTCTATTCACTTTAATACGTTAATGACCTCTACGATGAATTGGGTGTGCCATCCCTAATGTTTGCGGATGACTTGAAACTCTGGTTCACAACAGACGATCCGATTGGTCCACTGACCCTACAGAGGGCTCTGGATAGATCTTGGGACTGGTCCCTTTTGGCAGTTGTCCGTTAATTTAGCAAAATGTTCGTTTTTACACGTTGGTCCGAGTGACCTGCAGACGCGTTATTTGCTTGGCCGCAACGAGATACCGCGAGTTTCACTCTAATCAAACCTTGGAGTTTTGTTGTCATCAGACTTTAAATCCAGTGAACCCTGAACGACAACTGCTCGCAAAGCTTTCGACATGTTTTGGATGATCCGTAGGACATTCGGGATGATCACCGAAATGTTCGTTAAACTCTTTTCGAATTTTGTTAGGCCACACTTGGAAACTGCGTTCAAGCTTGTCCTCCATACCTGGTTCGTGATAAGATGGCAGTTGAACGAGTCCTGCGGTCCGGGACGAAAATGATGCACGGATTGAAGAAGCTGACATACCGGGAGAGGCTGCGTAGGTTGGATATGTTTTCTATGTATTACAGGCGGCTTCGAGGCAACTTGGTCCTCACGTATCGTATACTGATGGGTCAGATTGCTCCTCATTTAACTGGACTGTTTCGCCCAACTCGAGCGCCAACCCTTCATGGCCACCCATTAAAGTTGCACAAACCCCGGTCTGATCGGGTTTGGGCAGCTTTACTGCTTTGGCGTAGAATAATAGCTTATTGGAACGCACTGCATGCAAACGTCATGATGGCACCGACGGTGAGAGTTCGACCATTGACTTGACGCTTTCGGTCCGCAGTTTAAAGTCTTCCTCTCCATGTCTTAAACTTTACTCGTCTACTACGGCCTACGCTTCTTTAACTCATTTTAACTTACATCTTAGTATTGCCCACGAAATTAGATAAACTTGTCTTCTCCCCTTTTGCCTTTACTTTACTGACACTACTGTTTTCTTTTATTCTTCACCTGGCCAGCACAGCGGAGACTGCTAATGCAGGGAATGTGGGCATTGTTTGGTTGACCACGTGAATTGTGTGTGTTGATTTGGCTCTCCTTTGGCACAACAATGCACCGGTTTCCTTGTTAGATCGCCGACGTTTTAGAAGGTAGAACATTCACGGGATTTTCCTACTGTTGCGGTCCTACTCGAACTAGAACTTGGTCATATGGATGCACCAAGGCCTCCGATGCGATCTATCGAAGTCAACCAACCGTTCCAGTTATGCGGCTGGGATGTTTTTGGGCCCTTGCCGATCAGTCGGTCCGAAAACAGGTACATCCTAGTGATGATTGACCATTTCACTCGATGGGTAGTAGCCGTGCACATCAGGAGTCAAACAAGTGACACAGGGGCACAGGCATCAAAATTCAATATACCCGCAAGATGTGGAGTTCCACAGCGTTATAACCGACCAAGGATCCTGTTCTGAGTCGAAGGCATTTCAGGAAGTATTGAAAAATGAAACCTACAGAGACGACGCACATTACCCTGTCATCCGCGGACCAACGGACTGACTGAACGGTTTAATCGGACAATGAAGACGTGGATACACCGTAAAAAGTTGGCATTGGAGGCAGCATTGCCTGAGATATTTCTCGCGTATAGAACCAGCAAGCAGTCGACCACCAACGTTATGCCATTCGAACTGCAGTTTGGCAGAAAATCATGAATTTTGCTTGATACATGCATAACTCATACGCATGAGTGGGACATCCCAGCAACACCACGCGAAAGTTTGGAAGCAACCACCAGTAGAGAAGCCTGGTCTCGACGAGCAGGGAATAAGCGCAACTACGATACCAGGTATGCGGTTTACAAGCGGTGACATTCAGCGTAGGAGATCAATTCAAGGTACAAAATCACGATCAAGTTCAAGGAACACTGGAAATGCCCCTACGCAGTACTCGATCGGAAAGAGGAAAACTTCAAAACTGACAACGAGGCATAGCCACGCTGGATGAATGCAGCCCTGGTGCGACCGTGGTACGCCAGATAAAAGCAAGCTAAATAATACTAAATAAGGGAATAACTGTTTTATTCTCGGCAGTGCGGGGCACGCCTGCGAAGGCACGCTTATGATAATACCAACAGGTATGGACGTTACTTATGAATGGAAGGATTTTGGTGCGTATTTTTGTTCGTCGCAATCAGCCGACAATTCAGATATGTCGACCAGCTGTTCGGAAAAGCACCAGACGGCCGTTTCGCCCTATTGGGGCTCATCAGTGGTGCGCATCCTTCGGTCCTCTGCGGAGGATCGAACCCATGACTGCTAGTGGCTCTTGCCAACTAGCCCGCAGCTTATGCAACTGCGCCACGGAGGACGGTATCTGACTATCGTGAATTGTTAGCTAAATGCGATATAGCCCGACGCATCCTCCACTGCCATGCAGGCACCTGCCATGCAGATGACAGCGGTCGGCCTTCCGGCGTCAGGACTTCCCGGTTACGGCAGCTATGAATCGACATAGCATTTTGTGTAATCCGTACGGGCGAATTGGTATTACTTATGAATGAAAGGATTTTGGTGAGTATTTTTGTTCGTCGTCCATTTAACAACACTGTGACGTGGAGGATGTGACTCGTCACAAAATAAAGTCGCTGCCCTTGTGGATATCCGGATAATGCTATCAGACTTATTCGCAAATTCCTGACGATATCAAATACTCAAAAAGACAGCAATACACACAAATGCACAAACTACACAGCTACATATCTAACAATTGGTTGGCGGCATCCGCTTATGGATTTGCATGTCACTGTGGCCAGCCACGGGACGCCTGCACATACAGAAGGACCATGGATGGCTTGCGCTGCACCACTCACAGCTCCAACCACACACCTCATATCCAGTGTAAACCTGAAGTAATAAGATCGGGAGGCATGTGGATGGGAGCCACGTTTCATCAACGGAGACGGCCCACACATTTTCACAAGCAAACACAAGCACGCTCTATTTGGGAAATCATGCGCACACAAGGCGGTGGCTGGACCGCAGTCCGCTCCCCACCGAGTGCATGGAACCAGGGCCACAAGGACCGTGCATCCCTGTCGCTTCCAGCAACAACCAGCTGTCTCCTGGAGCCAGTATGGACGAGGTAGTGGGTAATAGACAGGTTGGCACCTTGTCAACATTCACATCATGCGCAGCCACATGGGGGATATCAAGTAACAGCCAATCACATGAAACGACAAGGTCCAGTAAAATAAATCGAATGGTGCATACAGGTATGTCAACATAGCTCTTTACTAAATGTGCATATGAAATAAATTGGATGAAACGATCCGCTATACGTTCAAGACGGCAGAAAATATTCGTAAGGAAAATGTCGGAATCGCGAAAATATGAGCTAAGTTAACTACAATTAACTTGAGCGATGAGTGCAAGTTAATAGAAGATAGTACACGTAGATATTGAGACAATATAGCTAACCCACCACCTGAAATAAAGTGACAAAGAACGTAACCAAGCCGTTTGTAAATCGAATACAGCGTAACTACAAACGCTGCGCTGGTTCTGCCTACCTTCTCAGCTGGACCCGTCGTCATTTCGGTG